TCTGATGCTGCTTGGCCTGCTGTGTTTATCCAGCTCTACACCTTGTTACCTCAGATTCTCCAGCATCGGCAGTTCCTACTATCACCTGCTGCGAAGGCAGGTAATCAGGCCAGTAGCTGGCTAAGGCCCCGAAATGATGGTTAATTGACTATTTAAGGCCCTTTAATTGGTGACATGTTGGGAAGTTTGCCCACGAATCTTAGAACTTGATTACTCAGTTGGTGGCAAAGAGGTGGTGTCTCGCCAGAGATACTCAACTTTTACAGAGGGGGAAAGAATCCGCCCAAAGAATCCATTGTTCAACAGGATTACAACTTATTTTAGGAAAGCTGGAGGCTCCCACAGTGACTTTGCTTAATGAGAGATGAAACTTATCAACCAGAAGCTCTCAGCTTTGACCCGTGATCTGCACAGGGGTAGCCAAATCTCAGCCAATGCAGAAATACTGATGCTGTAATCATTCTCAGGATCCTAGGTTTCAAATAGGCTAAACCAGGTACTCGCTGCTGATTATCACCCAGTAATTGCTCCCAGTTAAATAAGCTGCTGACGTGGACTGCCAATACATCAATAACACACGAATTATACAGATTTTTGAACGTTATCCGAAGACTCCCCTGGGTGAACCCAAAGAAAGCAATCAAAGCTTTAAGTAGAAATGGAAAATAGGGAAAAAGCAGCTTATCTCAGCCAGCTTTTGGAATCCCATTGCATTTTCATCAGAAACCTGGTTCTTTTAAATTCAAGCTTCACTAAGCAGGAGTGAAGTAGGTGTCAGCAGGAATATAATGATTACCTTTGCGAGAAGCTTCATCTGTTGTATTGATAAACATATCCCTTGATGCATTAGCTGGGGCCACTTCTCTGGAATTAATGGTTTCTACTTCTCCTGAAAAATAAGTAGTATCAAAGCATAAGATTACATTACAGATGAAATTTCGTGTTAAGCATTCATAGCAAAAGTTAGCGTGCAACATGAGAGAATGGGACCCTCACCTATCAATCTGCATCAAAACATAGTGAAGCTGATTTTAACCCTAAATGCCCAATAAAAAAAAAGTGAAAATCACCAAGGTTATTTACCTGCTGTCAAAATGCAGAAAATCACCAACTATGATTTTCTTTATGCAGACATCTGGATGGCAAGGACATTTTCCAAATACATATTCAGATTTAAGCAGAAGGAATTGTTGTGGCTTTCCCTTCAGGCCAGAGAGAATCAGGATCAACAGGAAAGGAGTCCAGGCCTAAACAGGTAGTTTATTTTCTTTCCTCTGTACGTCCAGGAGGGAAAAGAATCCTTCTTTAAGCCTAATAGAGAACAAGTTAATGCTCCTGCCCCAGGAGCCCTCCCCCATCTCTGCCTCCTAAACCTCCTCCCTACTGCCCTGAATGCAGTGAAAGATTCACTGTTTCAAGGTACTGTTTTGATGAGCACAAAAAGCCATCACATCTGGCCATTGGTTATCCCTGAACCAATCCAGTGAGACCAAATATCTGACAGTTATTGCTGTTTGGGAGAACCTGCTGCTGTGTTTCTGACAATGTAGTGAATACACTTCACAAATAATTCATTGTAAAGTGTTTTGAGACCTCCAGAGATTGTGTATGATACTATATAAAGGCAGGTCCTTTCTTTTCTAAGATAACAAGGTGTAGAGCTGGATGAACACAGCAGGCCAAGCAGCATCAGAGAAGCATGAAAGCCGACGTTTCGGGTCTGGACCCTTCTTCAGAAAATTTCTTTTCTAACTTGAGTTTCAAATATATCATTGTATGTTGTTGAGTCAAGATCCTGGAATCATTGAACCTATAACCATCCCTAAAGCACTCAGGGATAGGTAGAAATGCAGTTTTATCCATGTTTCACTCATCATAAGAGTGCATGAAAAATATTGGGGTTGAGTTTCCAGATTAAAATTTGGTGAAGGAGGCAACCAATTTTATATCTTTGTTACTCAAAATTTTTAAAAATTCATTTATTTAACCTGTTTTTCTAATTGACCTGTTCAGAGATTTTATCACAAACCTCTGGCGCAGGTGGGACTTGAAACTGGGTCTCTCAGTCCAGGGTACAGACACTACCACTGTGCCACAAGAGGGAGCCTAGTCAATCAATTATGGCAAGATTATCAAGTGAAAGCACCTAATACCATATCGAATGGCCGGGCAGAAAGGTTTAGTGGCACACTGAAAATGTTTCACATACTTTGTACAAATAGTGTCAAGAGCATTGTCATTGCTGTGACTGGGACATAGGAAGGTACCAAAAATCTTGAAAATTCTCATCATTTTAATTACAATAATGCTGTTGACTGCATGGAATGTCAACTGGCAGGGAAACCTGATGAGTAAAATTTGTAAGCCACGACTCCAATACTATTCAGAAATCTCCACAGATTTGCAGCAAGGTTTGATGAGTTATGTTCACCAGTGTCCTGCACTGCTAAATGAGAACATCATGGATTAATTTTTGCTTTTTAGCAAAGCTAGCACATATTTGCATGTCCACTATTAAATCCTCTGCAAAATGGGTGCAGCATGCAGAAATCACTTTGAAATTTGAGTCCTGCCTTCCCAGGATTCATGGGGAAGTGACAAAATGTTTGTATCATTCAGTTCTTCAGATGGCTCCTGTCTGCAATTGTTCCCATTTTTCTTTGGAAGCCATAGCATCAGTAGTAGATGATCGGTAATGGTAATCATGACTCTAATAGATTGTCATAGAAGCTCGTTTGGTTTAATCATGATCATTTGAGAGGGAAATCTGCTGTCGTTAGCTGGTCTGACCTATGTGATTTCCCATTCGGTTGTATCAAATCACTACACAGAACTGTAATAAAACTAAAAGCCAAGGACCACCTATCATCACACAGTGGGAATATGCATCCCAGGCAACTCTGCAAAAACCTCTTCACCAACATCTGGAAACTTGTGTAAAAATTGGACAGGTGTTCCAGACCAGTCAAACACCACCCTGTTGTGGAGGGAGTGAATGTTGCAGCTAAAGGATGCAGAATTCCCAGCCTTTGACCATCCCTTGTAGCCGCAGTATTTATAACTGGTCCAGTTCACTTTCTGGTCAGTGGTAACCTGCAGGATGCTTCTAGATATGTCTTTCAGACTTGAATCATCTGCAACATATTGTTTTTGTTTTATTCAAGGTGACACTGACTCGTGTGCCTCAATCTGGTTAACTGGCTCTTCATGTGGCATCTTGTGAAATGCTTTTTAGAAATCAATATAGATATCATCATCCTATTCCCTTTCTTCATTACTCTGTCAAAAATATCGATTAGATTAATCATATAACAGTTTGCATCTTACAAATCTGTGCTGACTCTTAATTAAGTCAAAGCTCTTGAAGTGTCTGTTTTTGTATCCCCCATATATGGTTTCTAAAATCTTACCCACTAATGTTGAACTTACTAGCCTGTAGTTCCTAAAAAATGTCCTTCCTTGCATCTTTCTTCAACAAGAGTTTCACATTTGCCAAGTTTCTAAACCTCTAATACCAGGGGTCATGCATTTAAGGCGAGGGGGGAAAGTTCAAAGCAGATGTGAGGGCCAAGTATTTTTACACAGAGAGTGCTAGGAGTCTGGAACGCACTGCAAGGGGTGGTGGTGGAGGCTGATATTATAAGGTCATTTGAGGGACTTTTAGATAAGCACATAAATATGCAAGAAATGGAGGGATATGGATCAAGGGAAGGCAGAAGGGATTAGTTTAATTTGGTGTCATGTTTGGCACAACATTGTGGGCTGAAGGGCCCATTCCTGTGCTGTACTGAACTATGTTCTGTGTTCTAAGAGAAGCCTTTCCTTCAGCTACCTGTTATGTAAGTCTTTGAGAAGAGTCAATCTATCCATTATAAACAGAACTAACCTTTCCAATAAACACTGCCTGTGAATTTTCATGCCATCTATTACCTTTACTATCTCTATATCATCAATATTTTGTCAAAATCCTCTACAGCAGTTAGCAATAACATAAGATAGTCATCAAATACCCTTGTCCAGTGCCTCCAACCATTGAGATCACCCTCTTTGTCCCTATTAGGCTATATTCCAACTTGTATTACCAACTTACTATATACATTTGGGAGAAGATTTTTGTATTTAGGCTCACTTGCATTCTTTTCTCATACTGTCTTTTTGCCAGTCTTTTTTTTTCTTTATTTCCCCACTCAACCTATTGTTTTGACCTGGTTCTTTCTTGAAGAATTCATCAGATATGCACTTTACACACTGTTTTATTTCATCATTTTTTTTATTTCCCTCATCATCCAAAGAGCACAGACTTTGGTTTGCTTACCTTTCACCTTTGTTGGAATATACCTAGCTTCTAGGTGCAACATCTCCTCAATGTCACCAACTGTTCTGTTGCAGTTTTTCCTATCAGGTTTCAGTTCCATTTTACCCTGGCTAGTTCTTGTCATGTCCCATTGAAAATTACCCTCTTCGAATTTAGAAGCTGTACTTTAGATGCTGTGGTTGGTCCACTCGCCGAGCTGGTTCATTAGTTTGCAGACGTTTCATTACCCTGCTGGGTAACATCATCAGTGCAGCCTCCGATGAAGCACTGTTGTATTTTCCTGCCTGATATTTAAACTCCAGAGTTTAAATAACAAGCGGGAAAACACAATGGCGCTTCATTGGAGGCTGCACTGATGATGTTACCCAGCAGGGTAATGAAACGTCTGCGGAACAACAAACCAGGCGAACCAACCAAACACAACATCCACAACCCGAGCTACAAATCTGCTCAAGAACATTGTACTTTAGATTATTCCTTGCTCTTCTCCATTCCTGATCCAAATCTTAGGAAATGATGATCACTTTTCCAATTGCTCCCTACATGGACACTGGTCCACTTCATTTCCCAACACTAGATTGGGCAATATATTCTTCCTAGTTGGACAGGGAACGTATTGGTCAAGGAAGTTCTTCTGAATGCATTTCAGAAATTCCTAATTGTTATCCTTTTCTTCTCACATTATTCCAGCTAATAATAAGATCATTAAAATCCTCTAATATCACCATTCTATTCCAATCTGCAGCAAAGTCATACCTGACTTGAAACATTGGGTGGAATCTTATAGGGATCTGGGCGATGTGGTGTTTGGCAATATGTATGGCAGAATTAGACGAGAAATCCAGCACGGTTTATCTCGATATTGTGAGCATCTCACTCCAACTTTTATGATTGGACAAGTGACGTGGTGAGACTCCCCCCAGACAGCAGCAAGTTGCCAATTATTGCTGGTTAAACACCTTAATAAAGGCTCAAATCGCCTCATTAATATTCAGCTTTCTATTTTAGCAAATTCAACAAATAAGGAAGGGTCACCAGACCCGAAATGTTAACTCTGATTTTACTTCACTGATGCTGCCAGACCTGCTGAGCTTTCCCAGCAACTTCTGTTTTTGTTCCTGATTTACAGCATCCACAGCTCTTTTGGTTTTTATTCAGCAAATATCAAGACAACTTGACATAGAATGGAGAGTGGGTATCTGGTTGATTCAGCTCGTCACTTGCTCTGAATGATCTCCATGTTGTGTACGGCAAAACTACAGCTCAGGGCACAATACGGGACACACACACAGCCCTCATCCGCAGTGTGTGCCAACCCATCACAACTATTGGTGCAGCTCTACTCAACCAGGAAACACCAAGACTGGTTTGGTGAGAATGATCAGGAGATCCAGGAACTATTAATCTGGAAGTGCATGGCATTTCTGACTGTCAAACAGCAGCCACACTTGGAAGAGAAAATGTAGGCCTACAGGCGGCTGAAGGCAGATGTACAAAACCAGACCCGCAACATAAAGAACAGGCAGTGGTTGGAGAAAGCACTGGAGGCCCGAGGCTTATAGAGGAACTGTAGTGCTGTAATCATACACCCTTTGCTTTTCAACTTGTAACAGCTAATTGTGACCTTAAAGATATCTTCTGTTTCCAACACTTTAATGTTGATGACTCCACCTCCTTTCCTTCCTTTGTATCTTCTCTACACACTGTATCTGTGATTATTAATATTGAGTTCTCATCATTTTTCAGCTGTATTTCCTTTATTGCCAATGTATCATTATCCCTTGGAACTCGCCTACTTTATTCACACACTTTTTTACATATATCCACGTTAGTGACTGAGTGGCAGTCGAGAGGGAATAATTCTGGCCGTCAACGACATTAACTTCGACTCCGATTTCCTTGCCCATATCTAATCTGCTCCCATGGAACTTCATTGGACCTGGAGTCTATGTTGAGAACTCCCAGGGCAACTTCCTCCTGACTGTATACCACTGTGCCCCCATCTGAATTGGTTCTGTCCTATCGATAGGACAGGACATTGCCAGGATGATGATGGTTGTGTCTAGCACTTTGCCTGTAAAGTATGATTGAGGGAGTTGACAGTTCTCCCAATTTTGTTACAAATACCGAATGTTGGGAAGGAGTACTTTGCAGGGTTGAGTGAATGCTGTGCTATTAACATTTCCGGTGCTGAGGGCAATGCTGGTACGTCCAGTTTTATTCATAGAATCCCTACAGTGTGGAAACAGGCCATCGGCCCAACAAGTCCACACCACCCCTCTGAAGAGCATCCCACCCAGACCCATTCCCCTAATTTCCCATGTCTAACCCACCTAACCTAAACATCCCTGGGCACTATGGGCAATTTAGCATGGCCAATCCACCTAACCTGCACACCTTTGGACTGTGAAGGAAACCAGAGCACCTGGAGGAAACCCATGCAGACACAGGGAGAAAGTGCAAACAGTTGCCTAAGGCTGGAATTGAACCCAGGTCCCTGGCGCTGTGAGGCAGCAGTGCTAACTACTGAGCCACCATGCTGCCCTTTTCAACTTTTCTGTAAACATTTGGTGCAACTGAGTGGCTTGCTGGGCTATTTCAAAGCGTACTTAAGAGTTAAATGCATATTTTGGATCTGAATAACACAGGTGAGAATGGCACATTTCCTTCCCCAAAGGGATTAATGAACTAGTCTGATCGTTTCACAGTCATGTCTCATGTGAGAATCATTAACCAAGATAGTACAATTTACCAAAACATGCATAATTGGAGAAATTATCAACAATATTGAACATTTTATAACTTACCTTCGCATGAATCGGAATGACCACAAATTGAACAAATTAACAGGTAAATGATATTTCAAGTGAAAAGGATAAATTTAACTTTAAATAGTCAACACATCAAAGGTACATTTTCTACATTCACAAGCATTCCTCTTTAGCATGGATGGCATTTCGTTACACACTTCCACACTTGTTCTTTGTCCATGCAGAGTAGGATGGAAGTTCAATCTAACAACAGTTTTCATCTCTGAGTTTCATGGGTCTAATTATCATTTGAAAGACATACTTCTACAACCTGCTGTCCCTTGGGTTATGACAGTTATAGAAACCAAGAACAGTGCAGCACAGGAACAGGCCCTTCAGTTCACAAAGCTCATGGAGACACATGACAACTTTCTAAACTAAAATCCTTTTGCCTCCACTCTATCTGTATTCCTCTATTCCCTGCATATTCATGTATCTGGAACCAAAAAAAAGTTGCTGGAAAAGCTCAGCAGGTCTGGCAGCATCAGTGGAGGAGAAAACAGAGTTAACGTTTCGGGTCCAGTGACCCTTCCTCAGAACTGATGGTGGCTAGGAAAACGTCAGTTTATATGCAGAAAATAGCGAGGTGGGTGGGGTAGGGAGTAAACGATAGGACAGAGCCCAAAGAGAGAGAAAGACAGTTGGACAGACAAAGGAGTTGCTAACGATCAGGCTGGGAGGGTGAATAGTTGTTAATGGGGACTGTTAGTGACTAACAACAGGGGGTGTGTAATGGCAGGTTATGTGGTAACAAGGCCTGGTGTGTGGGGTGGGGGGCTGGGACATGGGAGAGTTTAGGCCCTAAAATTATTGAACTCAATATTGAGTCTGGAGGGCTGTAGGGTCCCCAAGCGGAAAATGAGGTGTTCCTCCAGCTTGCGCTGGGCTACTCTCCCATGTTCCAGCCCCCCGCCCCCGAAATGTTAACTCTGTTTTCTCCTCCACAGATGCTGCCAGACCTGCTGAGCTTTTCCAGCAACTTTGTTTTTGTTCCTGATTTACAGCATCCGCAGTTCTTTTGGTTTTTATTCATGTATCTGTCAAGATGCCTCTTAAACATTGCTGAAGAAGGGTCCCCGAAACATCAGCTTTCCTGCTCCTCTGATGCTGCTTGGCCTGCTGTGTTCCTCCAGCTCCACACCTTGTTATCTCTTAAACATTGCTATTGTATTCACCTCCACCACCTCCTCTGGCAGCACATTTCAGACACTTACCATCCTCTGTGCGAAAAACTTACCCTTCACATCTCCTCCAAACTTTGACCCCTTCACCTTAAACTTATGTCCCCTTGCAATTGACATTTCTATCCTGGGAAACTACTCTGACTATCCATTCTATCCATGCCTCTCATAATCTTGTAAACCTCTACCACGTCGCCCCTCAGCTTCCGACATTCAAGTGAAACCAAAACCAATTTTACCAACCTCTCCTTATAGCTAACACTCTCCAAACCAGATAACACCCTGGTAAACCATTTCTGTACCCTCTCCAAAGCCTCCACATCCTTCTGGTAGTGTGGCTACCAGAACTGTACACAATCTTCCAAAGGTAGCCTAATTAATGTTCTATACAGCTGCAACATAACAATTTTTACACTCTGAGCCTGACCGATAAAGGCCTGCATGCCATGTCTCTTCTTGACCACCTTATCCACTTGCGTTGCCACTTTCTGGGGACTGTGGACCTGAACACCTCGATCCTCCTGTACTATGTGTTAATGCTTCTCAGGGCTCTGTCATTTACTATATACTTCTGCCCAATAGACTTTCCAAAATGCATCATGTCGCATTTGTCCAGATTAAATTTCATCTATCATTTCTCTGTCCAATTCTCCAGCTGGTCTATATCCTGCTGTATTCTTTGGTAATCCTCCACACTATTCGCAGCTTTCACAATCTTTGTGTCACCCACTAACTTACTAATCAGGCCACCTATATTCTCCTCCAATTCATTTACATACATTACAAACAACAGGGTTTCCAGCAATGACCCCTTTAGAACACCACAGGTCACAGATCTCCAGTCAGAAAAATACCCTTCCTCTGCTACTCTCTGTCTTCTGTGACCAAACCAATTCTGCATCCATCTGACCAGCTCACTGTGGATTTTTAAAAAAATTATTTATTTGTGGGATGTGCGTGTTGCTGGCTGGCCAGCATTCCTTGCACATCCCTAGTTGCCCTTGAGAAGATGGTGGTGAGATGCCTTCTTGAACCACTGCAGTCCTCCTGCTGTGGGTTGACCCACAATGCCCTTAGGGAGGGAATTCCAGGATTTTGACCCAGCGACAGTGCGAGAACAGCAACATTTTTCCAAGACAGGATGGTGAGTGAGTTGGAGGGGAACTTGAAGGTGGTGGTGTTCCCAAGTGTCTGCTGCCCTTGTCCTTGTAGATGGAAGTGGCCGTGGGTTTGGAAGGTGCTGCCTGAAGATCTTTGGTGAATTTCTGCAGTGCATCTTGTAGATAGTACACACTGCTGCTACTGAGTGTCGGTGGTGGAGGGAGTGGATGTTTGTGGATGTAGTGCCAATCAAGCGGCTGCTTTGTCCTGGATTGTGTCAAGCTTCTTGAGCGTTGTTGGGGCTGCACCCATCCAGGCAAGTGGGGAGTATTCCACCACACTCCTGACTTGTGCCTTGTAGACAGTGGGCAGGCTTTGGGGAATCAGCCCAGGGATTGCTCCTCTGGGCCGCGTGGAATATCTCGAATTTATAGGCAAAGTGGTAGAATGAAGGTGAAGTTACGAAGGGAGCTTCGTGGCACCTACCTGTTTGTGCATTGTAAATGGTCATGAAGAAGCCTCCCCCAATCCCCATGCTGTGCGTATTCATGAGTCCAACACAGAGCAAGCTGGCAATGACAGCATCCACAGCGGATGCATTCTGCCTCAGAATATCCCTGCAATGAAATCAGTGTGACATTTATAAACACAGGAATAAGAGGAGGCCATTCAGACCATCGTGTCTGTTCTGCAAATCAATTAGATCATGGTTAACCTTAACCCTAAAGTCTCTGTGATGAAATCAGTGTGCAATGCTTAATTTGTCTGTAGAGCTGTCGGGAAACAAGCTGCTTCCTGTTCTATGTCAACCTAAATAAATCACTGCCTCAATAACAATGTCATGGGAAAAATACAATACTAAACGACATGAATGAGCAGATCCTCAGTTGTGACCCATACTGTACTGACGTTGTTACAAAAGTGTTTTTTATTTAATATTGCTTAGAGGACATAGGTTTTGAAGGATTGTGGAAATTTGAATTATTTCAATGTTAGTGCAAACAGTAAAACAAAAGATAATTGAAAGTTCACTTTGGACTTTGGGGATTTTTTAAAGAAGGTTTCCTAGAAGTCACCTGACTGCTGATAAATAATTGTTTTGCTGTGGACTTCTGCTAGGATTTGTTTTTGAACAGTGGCTGGCTTAGAGATGTTAATGTTATATCTGGTTCAGTTGAATGGAAGCCTACTAAGAACAAAAACAGAAATTGCTGACAAAATTCAGCAGATCTGGCAGCATCTGTGCAAAGAAAGTAGAGTTAACATCACTGGACTCGGAGATAGTAGGAACTGTCGATGCTAGAGAATCTGAGACAACAAGGTGTAGAGCTGGATGAACACAACAGGCCAAGCAGCATCAGAGGAGCAGGAAGGCTGACGTTTCAGGTCTAGACCCTTCTTCAGAAATGGGGGAGGGGAAGGGGATTCTGAAATAAATAGGGAGAAAGGCGAAGCTGGATAGAAGATGGATAAAGGAGAAGATTGGTGGAGAGGAGACAGACAGGTCAAGGAGGCGGGGTTGGAGCCAGTAAAGGTGAGTGTAGGTGGGGAGTTATGGAGGGGATAGGTCAGTCCAGGGAGGACGGACAGGTCAAGGAGGCGGGATGAGGCTAGTAGGTAGGAGATGAGGGTAGGGCTTGAGGTGGGAGGATGGGATAGGTGGGAGGAAGGACAGGTTAGGGAGGTGGGTACGAGCTGGGCTTATTTTGGGATGAGGTCGGGAGAGAGGAGATTTTGAAGCTTGTGAATTCCACATTGATACCATTGGGCAGCACCGTTCCCAAGCAAAATATGAGGTATGTTCCTGCAACCTTCAGGTGGCATTGTTGTGGCACTGCTGGAGGCCCAGGATGGACATGTCATCCAAGGAGTAGGGGGGGGAGTTGAAATGGTTTGCGAATGGGAGGTGCAGTCGTTTGTCGCAAAACAAGCATAGGCATTCCACAAAGTGGTTCCCAAGTCTCTGCTTGGTTTCCCCAATGTAGAGGAGGCCACAACGGGAACAGCGGATACAGTATACCACATTAGCAGATGTGCAGGTGAACATCTGTTTAATGTAGAAGGTCTTCTTAGGGCCTGGGATGGGGGTGAGCGGGGAGGTGTAGGGGCAGGTGTAGCACTTCCTGCGGTTGCGGGGAAATGTGCCGGGGGTGGTGGGGCTGGTGGGGAGTGTGGAGCGGACAAGGGAGTCACGGAGAGAGTGGTCCCTCCGGAAAGCAGATAAGGGTGGGGAGGGAAAAATGTCTTTGGTGGTGGGGTCGGATTGCAGATGGCGGAAGTGTCGGAGGATGATGCATTGGATCCGGAGGTTGGTGGGGTGGTACGTGAGGACGAGGGGGATGCTGTGTTGGTTGTTATTGCGGGGAGTGGATGTGAGGGATGAGTTGCAGGCAATGCGAGAGACACAGTCGAGGGCGTTTTTGACCACTGTGGAGTGGAAGTTGCAGTCCTTGAAAAACGAGGACATCTGGGATGTCCAGGAGTGGAATGCCTCATCTCGGGAGCAGACGCGGCAGAGGCGGAGGAATTGGAAATAGGGGATGGCCTTTTTGCAGGAAGGTGGGTGAGAGGAGGTGTACTCTAGGTAGCTGTGGGAGTCGGTAGGCTTGAAATGGATATCGGTTTCCAGGTGGTTGCTAGAGATGGAAATAGAGAGGTCCAGGAAGGAGAGAGAGGTATCAGAGATGGTCCAGGTGAACTTAAGGTTGGGTGGAAGGTGTTAGTGAAGTGGATGAACTGTTTGAACTCCTCTTGGGAGCACGAGGCGGCGCCGATACGGTCATCGATGTAACGGATGAAGAGGTGGGGAATAGGGCCAGTGTAGCTTTGGAAGAGGGATTGTTCCATGTATCCTACAAAGAGGCAGGCACAGCTTGGGCCCATGCGGGTACCCATGGCCACCCTCTTTGTCTGTAGGAAGTGGGAGGAATGGAAGGAGAAGTTGTTAAGGGTGAGGACGAGTTCAGCTAAGCGGATAAGAGTGTCAGTGAAGGGGGACTGGTCAGGCCTGCGGGACAGGAAGAAGCGGAGGGCCTTTAGGCCATCTGCATGGGGAATGCAGGTGTATAGGGACTGAACATCCATGGTAAAGATGAGGTGTTGGGGACCAGGGAATCGGATATTTTCCACCTACGTCCGTGACACCACCCATGCCCTCCACCTCCTCCAAAACTTCCGATTCCTCCAAAACTTTCCAAGTCCCGCATGGTGTGTTGCCTGCCCAGTGCCAGGGTGCAGGACATCTCTGACCGGCTTGAAAGGATATTGGAGCGGGAGGGGGAGGATCCAGTTGTTGTGGTCCACGTTGGGACTAACAACATAGGCAAGGCTAGGATGGAGGACCTGTTTGGGGATTATCAAGCACTAGGAACGAAATTAAGGAACAGGTCCTCGAGGGTCATAATCTCTGGATTACTGCCCGAGCCATGTGCAAATTGGCTTAGGGATAAGAAAATTAGGGAAGTAAACACGTGGCTAAGGGAGTGGTTTGGTAAAGAGGGATTCCATTTCATGGGGCATTGGCATCAGTTTTGGAACCGGAGGGATCTGTACCGATGGGACAGTCTCCACCTGAACCGATCTGGAACCAGTGTTCTTGCGAAAAGGATAAATAGGGTGGTCACTAGGACTTTAAACTAGTGAGTTGGGGGGAAGGGAAAGGGAAAACGACAGGGAGTATGATGGTAAATAAAAAGGTAAGCAGCAGGTTAGCATGTGTGCAGGAGGGTTTAAGTTCAAGGTAGACTATGAAAGAAGCAAAAAGGAAGGATAACTCAGGAGATATTATTAGAGATGTTGGAAATCATGAGGGTAAGAAAGCTAGCATAAAGGCACTTTACCTGAATGCTTGTAGCATTCGTAACAAGGTTGATGAGTTAACGGCACAAATCATCGCGAATGAATATGATTTGGTAGCCATTACGGAGACATGGTTACAGGATGGTCACAACTGGGAGTTAAATATCCAAGGGTACCAGACTATTCGGAAGGACAGACAGGAAGGTAAGGGAGGTGGTGTAGCTCTGATATTCAAGGACAACATCAGGGCAGTGCTGAGAGATGATATAGGTTCGATGGAGAATGAAGTTGAATCCATTTGGGTGGAAATTAGAAATTCTAAGAGGAAAAAGTCACTGATAGGTGTAGTCTATAGGCCACCAAATAATAACATCACATTGGGGCGGGCAATAAACAAAGAAATAACTAATGCCTGTAAAAATAGTACGGCAATTATCATGGGGGATTTTAATCTACATGTAGATTGGTCGAACCAGCTCGGTCAGGGTAGCCTTGAGGAGGAGTTCGTTGAGTGTATCCGTGATAGTTTTCTTGAACAGTATGTAATGGAACCGACGAGGGAACAAGCTATCCTAGACCTGGTCCTGTGTAATGAGACAGGAATAATTAATAACCTCATAGTTAGGGATCCTCTTGGAAGGAGTGATCACAGTATGGTTGAATTTAGAATACAGATGGAGAGTGTGATGATAAAATCCAATACCAGGGTCCTGTGCTTGAACAAGGGGAACTACAATAGAATAAGGGAGGACTTGGCTAAAGTAGACTGGAGACAAAGATTTTATGGTGGGACAGTTGACGAGCAGTGGAGGGCTTTCAAAGCAATTTTTCAAAGTGTTCAGCAAAAGTATATTCCAGTGAAAAGGAAGGACTGTAAGAAAAGGGGTAATCTGCCATGGGTGTCTAAAGAAATAAGGGAGGCTATCAAATTGAAAGAGAAGGCATACAAATAAAAACAGCATGAAACTAGAAGATTGGGAAAACTTTAAACGTCAACAGAAAGCCACAAAAAGAACTATAAAGAAAAGTAAGATAGAACATGAGAAAAAACTAGCACAGAATATAAAGACAGATAGCAAAAGTTTCTATAAATATATAAAATGAAAAAGAGTGGCTAAAGTAAACGTTGGCCCTTTCGAGGATGAGAAGGGGAATTTAGTTATGGGATATGATGAAATGGCCAAGGCATTGAACAGGTATTTTGTATCGGTCTTCACAGTGGAGGACACTAATAACATGCCAGTAATTGACAAAGAGACGAAGGTAGGTGAGGACCTGGAAACAATCATTATTACGGAAGAGGTAGTGTTGGACAAGCTAATGGAGCTAAGGATTGATAAGTCTCCTGGCCCTGATGGAATGCATCCCAGGGTACTAAAAGAGATGGCGGGAGAAATAACAGGTGCACTGGCGGTAATTTTCCAAAATTCGCTGGACTCTGGGGCAGTCCCAGCAGATTGGAAAACAGCAAATGTGATGCCACTGTTTAAAAAGGGAAGTAGACAAAAGATGGGGAATTATAGACCGGTTAGCTTAACCTCTGTAGTGGGGAAGATGCTTGAGTCTATTATCAAGGAAGAAATAGCAAGGCATCTTGATAGAAATTGTCCCGTTGGGCAGATGCAGCATGGGTTCATGAAGGGCAGGTCATACTTGACAAATCTTTTGGAATTCTATGAAGACATTACGAGCGAGGTGGACAATGGGGACCCACTGGATGTGGTGTACCTAGATTTCCAAAAGGCCTTTGACAAGGTGCCGCACAAGAGGCTACTGCATAAGATAAGGATGCATGGCGTTAAGGGTAAAGTATTAGCAT